TAATTTCGCCCATATTTTGCATATTATTGTTTCACTTAACACATCCATCTCTGTTAGCATCGTATTTTAATAAGCAATTCAAATAACTAAATATCGTCTTATTTTTTATGCTAAATTAATTAATATAGCAAAATTTACTATGCTAATTTTTTTTTTAATTTTTTTTTTGGTTTCGTTAAGCACAGTACAATTATGCTTTTTTGTTTTATTTTAAAAAATAATGCTTTGAAATTTGAATTAAGCTGATGAAAATATTATACAAATTAAAAGCGTGTGATATTTATAATCAATTTTGAGTGATTCTTTTTTATGTAAATTATTAATTTATTTGTGATTTACTATGTTTTAAATTGATTTTTCCGTTTTAAAATATTTTTTAAATCTCATATTAAGTGCTTTAAATTTCATTGTACTCAGATTATTAATTGTTCAAAGCGATTAGTAATTTTTTAGTTGATCATGTTGCTATTTGCCGGAATGATGCTAGTTTATTGTGTTCATCACGGCACCTGCACTAAATCAAGTCCAATAGCTCTCGATCCTCGACTTGTAGATCAAGATATGACACAAATACAATTTTCCGCTCAGAACAAAGTTCAATCTGCTGTGACAAGTTAGTTTCTTGAAAATTATATCAAAGCATTGATTATTTCGAAGTGATTATTTGATCTTCTACTTTATAAAATTAAAGATATGCCTTGTAAGATTTCGTGACTGATAACCTAACCCATTTGTTTTAAAGGTCATGATCACTCCTGAAAGTACTATCAAGCCGATCTTATTCTATTATTATTCAATAAAATTCCATCAACAAAGCAAATTCTTTGACCAAAACTTCATAATCATGCCACAATTTTCAGTTTTATTTGATTTGCATTTTTTTTTAAACGATTGAATGCTAAACTTGAATAATTAATATCAGTTGAATAATTAGTAGCAAAAGTTTGGACAATAATTAATAGCCAAAAAAGTAACATAGACATTTGATGAAATATATTAATTCTTATTTCTTCGATAAAAGGCAAAAAATTCGGTACTAAATTAAACTAATTGAGTGTTTTTTTTTTCTTTCAGTAAAGAATGATCAAAAAAGCAGCACGCAGAATAATAATAAAGAAGTGATAATATGGGAATGTGGTGTTGATAATTTCACTAAATTTATTAGTGAATCTAAGGTTCAACGAAACTGTCCTCGACGGAAAAGTTTGCCAATTTTTATTAAAATTCTTACACAATAATTTACGACTAAAGAATAAAAAAAGAAGCATTCCAATAATTTTTAGTAAATTGCAATAAAATTCATCATTTCTGCCAATTTTCAATATTTTATTTTTCCGCCGTTTTTTGTAAAATATCAAGAATTTATTTAATCAAAATAGTCATATAATTAGGATGAAAGAAAAACAAAAGTTCAGTTTACGAACCATAGAATGTTTATCTAATATCATTCAATATATTTATAATATTTTTTTTTTTTAATTTTACCAAATTTTCAGAATCAATTAATCAATGTTGTATTAATCATGATGAATGCTATGATGAGCAACGAGGAAGGAAATATTGTGATGACGTATTTTGCGAATGTCTTCACGTAAGATTTATAAATTTTTTTCCTTTTTCTTTTTCTCCATATTTCATATTTTAAATTTAGCAATGATAATAAAGCAAGCGCTGCTATTTAGATAAAATATGCAGGCAAAGAAAAAGGAAAAAAAAAACTGTTTCATTTAAGAATGCTACAAAGCTCAGTCCTAATTGCAATAAACGAGAAGGACGATTATTTTGTGAAACTGTTCGATTTTTTGGTGAATTAGCTTATATTAATGCTGGAAGGTCAAAGTTTAATTTATTGTTTGTTTATTTAATTATTTCTTTTGTTTGTTAATACAAGAAAATTGCAAACAAGCTTGTCAAAATTTTACATTTTACACATAAATATTTGATTTTTTCCTTTTTTTTAATTGTCAAACTTGTATTAGAAAGAGAGAAAAAAATAATTGTTTATTTTTATAATTTTCTTCAAAAAAAAAATCGTATGATTGTATAAAAGGTGATACATGATTAGATAAGAATGTATAAGTAAAATAAGAAATCGAGATTTTTAAACAATTTATTAGGACAAAAAAAAATTTCCAAAAAATTTTTTCATGAGTAAAATTTCTTGTAAATGAATTACTTTCTCACACACCAGTAATAACAGATTGCGATCTCCAAGAATTTTTATTAAATTAACCGACTGATTAATATTTTCAAGAAGATTGTTATTTTTGCAAATTTAGAAGTAAAGCGACGAGTACTGTACCGTCGAGAATTCCTGCACAAAGGATGATGACACGGTGAAACAATTTCTGAGTTTTTCTTTTAAGAGATGCATATGGTTAGTATAAGTAAATTTTGATATAGCAGATTTTATTTTTCTAAAATTCCTATAATTGATCATTACAAATTTTTTCGAGTAAATAATTTCTAAATAAGCAATTCTCAAGTACAGCTATTGAATAAATAATTCTCGAGTATATCAATTAGTCACCTACGATGGATACAAAAATTCTTCCAGTTTTTAATGAAATGTTAATTTTATCGAGTTGTAACTTGCACTGCTCTTTGATTATCAGTTAAATAAATTAGTGTAATGAATACAAGCAATTTAAAATATAACAGATTTGATGCATTTTTTGATGCAATTTAGCTAAGAAAAATGAACTTATATATGAAAGGTTGAAAATTTCAATAATTTTTAAATAAAAAATTATTTGCAGTTTAATCTTTTTAATTACTGCTTTATAATATTATTGTAATATTATCGTCAGATTATGTTTGTTACAGTAGAATCAAATAATCGATCATAATTTAATACAATCGCAATATAGTTAATATTTTCAAATTAAAAAAATATAGTTAATATTTTTACAATATAGTTAATATTTTCAAAAACTTTCTTATTAAGTTTATTTTATTTTTGCTTAATTTTAATTTGAAAATAGTTATGAATTTCATTGCTCATTTAATCCAATGATTTTTTTTAATCGATAATTCTACGTAGTTCAACTAATGATAGTTTTGATTTGTTAGATCCAAGACAAATCCGTAAAAAGGGTACTATGAATGAAAATAAACAACAAACACATTTTAGTTGTTTAAAAAAAAATTAGAGGGGAAGGAAGAAAAAGAGACGAAGAGAGAGACAGAGAGAGAGAGAGAGAGAAATGAGGAGAATGAAAATAATGAAGGCAAACTTTTGTAAAAGAATGCAATGACCCATTTTGCAAAATTTGCAGCAAAATTTGGTCCAAGACAAAACGAATGATGAAAGTATTTTCCACTCAAAGAGTTTTTTAAAAAAGAAGGAGAGAGAGAAAGGGAGGGAGAGAATAGGAATTAAAGAAAATAAAAAGGTTAGCTTAATGAAATGAATTACATTCATCGTTTTAATTTTATAGAAAAAAAGATGCGTACATTTAATTATAATTTTTAGATTGATATAGCGACGAAATTAAAATGTTATCAGAGTGGTTGAAGTATGACACGAAATTTAACGATCCATTGAAACAGTCTTCTCTAAACTGATTGATTTTTTTATTTGCATGAATTGTTATAAAATTTGAAAATCCGTGCAAACTGATAAAACAATCAAAAATATTATTTTGTATGAATGAAATTTTGAATCACTATACCTTTCATTTTTTTATTTTATTTTTTTTATTTTTTTTCATACCTTTTATTTGTTTTCATATGAAATATATTACCTTGATAGCTTTTTCAAAAATTTCAACATTTTTGTAATATATTCAAGTTGAAATGTTTTGTTACAGTATCAATAGTTTATATTAATATTACCGACATAATTAACATTGTCGATTTTTCGTTAATATAAAAAATATCGAAGACTTGAAATATTGTTAATTTTTCTGATTTTTCATCTTTATTATTGCAAATTAAATCATTTATGTTTGTCTGATTTTTTCATTACAGACATTTATTTTACTTTTTTTTTGGTGGAATTAAACATTTTTATCCTATGCAATTTATAGTTTGGAAATTATGCAATTATCACCTCATCTATAAAATCTCTTCAAGTGTGTCGCAACTATCAATCGACAAAACATCAATCTCCAAAAGCCGAGAGTGATCAGAGAATATCAATTATTAAATCGCAAATGATCAAAGTTGATAATGAACTCAAAGTACTTGGTGCAAAACTTGTTGCTTTAATTTCCTGTGCCAGCATTTGAAATAACGAATTTTACAACACAAGGAAATTTGCTTATTATAGATTTCATTCGAAATATAGTTAGTGAATTAATTATTAAGATAATTCTTTCAGTATTAAGAGTTTTTAGTTCGAATTTCAGCAAGATGGTACTTCCCTTCCGGTTACTGGTATTCAGTTAATATAAGGAATATTAGTATTTCGACAGTTATAGATAATCATTTCTGTTTCATAATTTAATAGACTACATCATAAGAGAATAACTTTTACTACTCAATTACTGTATTTACGTTTTTTTAGAAAATAAAAAAAATACACTAAATGTGAAAAAATTAAGCACTGCTTGCACTATTAAGTGATTTCTTAGCATATCATTAGCTGCAAATTCATTAGCATCCGTTAGGTAACAAGAAAAATTTATTCTTACTTGTTTATCAATATTGATCAGATACGAAAAAAGTCAATTAATTATTATTGAATTTATTATTGAATTCATTTAAATTATTGAATTCATTTAAATTATTGAATTATTGAATTCATTGAATGGAAAATTGGCCAAAAAATGATTATTGTCTTCTTTTTCTTATGTAAAATTAGATGATTATGTTAATAAATTCAAAGAGATTTGTTCTGGAAATAAATAGCCGAAAGAGGCAACAAAAAGCACGCTTGAAAAGTTAAATGAGTAACTGAAAGGAGCAAAAAAAGAGATTAAAAAAATGCATTTGAAAAGTTTTCCTCAATTTTGCAAGCAAAAAAAAATTTGAATTTTTCAGTTGCAAATAAAGTAATGGATGAGAAATGGGCTGGCAGATTGAAAATTGATTGCAATTATGAAACTGGCCAAAATGTCGGAAGTAGTCATGCATTTTCTACAAAGGAAAATATGAGTGGTAGAAAAGGAGTGGAAAGATATATTTTGTAGTTTAGGAAAAAATTGATTGAAGCAATTAAAATTGGTTGGTAATGAAAAAAAATTATGTTTGAATAGAATTGCGCAAATCTTACGGTTTATTTTTTTTTTTGGCCGTAATAATTTAATTTTTCTGAGAGCATTAGTTCTATTTAACATTTATGAAATTTCTTAAACAAAAAAAAGTCATGAAAAATTATCGCCTGACTTCAAAACTTTAAAAAAATTTTTTTTTTGCATTTTATGAGACAACGAAGGAAAAAAAAATACTGTAGCAGTTAAAATGCATGAAAAATTCGTTATCGATTTCGTTAGAATTAGCAATTTTATTAACATATTCAAAATCTTCATCTTAATAGTTGAATTTGAAATAATTACTGAGAGCTTATCTACAAGTATACTTTTTTATAAAATTTTGAATATTTCGTTTTTTTTTTTCTTGGAAAGAAAACATTGAAGCTGATAAAAATTTCAAACTATTATTGCTTGGAACCAATTTTCGAAATGATCTTTATTAACAATGAATTTTGAATTCGTTTGTTAATTAAGCTATCAGACTGTTTTTCAGATGTGAAAAAATTAGCGCTTTGTTCTTTTAGAAATAAAAGAAGAAGGGATAGTATCATTCAAAAGAAAAACAAAATTCGATATTTGCATTTAACTATTCTAACTTTTCAATATTTCTGATTTCATTTATATTGCATATAAAGGAAAAAGATGAGGAAAATAAGAACGGAATCTTCAACAAAAAATAAAATTTTGCTTTTCCCATGCGAATTTTTAATTCAAAATAAAATTTCACCCCTTATTTTGGTATTTGATTCTCTTATTGTATTTAGCAAAACTTTAAAAAAAAAAGAATTTAAAAAAAGGAGAGTAACAAATATCCTTCTGAAAATAATCCATCACTTTTTTTTGTAATTTTTAGTACTAACAATTATAATGCTATGTAATACAGTATTATTTATGAAATGAAATCATTTCTGGAGAATGATATCGTAGACGAGGAAGGTGAGGGAAGAGCGTGGCGGAGGAAAAAATTAGGATGATAGCATGATGATGACGATGACGATGATGATGATGATGATGATGATGATGATGATGATGATGGTGATGATGATGATGATGGTAATGATGATGATGGTGATGATGATGGTGAGGGTTAGGATGAGGTAATTGACATATTCCAGAAAAGACATAATCCATTTCATCCTCCTGTTTTCATTGTAAGTCCTTTTCGAACTTCTATAATTGTCATCCGATCATCATTTTAATATTATTCAACGGATTATCGTTGCGTGTGTGTCACTAAGGTTATCAATAAGTAATTAACTCTTGCATCTTTTCTATTTCGTCATTCATTTTCCATTGATCCAATTAATTAATTAATATTATTTTATGAATAAATTATGACGATTTGATTTAATACTCGATTACATCATTTCGCTGTAACAAACGAATAATTTAATCCGTTTCTATCATTTTTTTGGGAATTAATTTGTTTAGATTATTTACAGCTGTTTAGTACATTTTTTCGTAGTACATATTGTTGTGTATTTTTTCCCCCTATAATTATTACAATATGCTAGAATAATCTTGATTTAATCCATTAATAATCACTGTAAAAAATTAGATCAAAAAAGTAGAAACAGAAAATTTTTATTTTTTCCGTAAAACATTTTTTTTGTTCGATAAAAATTATAAGAAATACAAATTATTTGCTATTCTCTCATATTTTTTTAACATATTTACGTCAAAACTTATATTTAAATATCAAAAATTGTTGAATAATAATTACATTACATGTAATTATATAGGCAATCTTCCTAATATTAGTAATAGCAATGAATATTCTCAAAATAGGAAATTAAAAATTGCACACATATCAATAATCAGCTTACATAAAATCAATTTATAATATCAATATTAATATGTCAGGAATCAAGAAGAAAAATATCAATAATAATCGAGAAGAGGTTTCCAGAAGGAATCATTGTGCTATGAAAAACGGGCGATGAATTATTATCGTTGGATAAGAACACTAGCAATGGTAAAATTTGCTGAATTAGTTTAAAATATTAACTTCCAAAAATTTAATCAAAACATTGTTAAAATCAAATTTTATAAAAGGTGAAAAAAGAAAAGGATGAAGTTTTAATTAGCAATTTATTTAACAAAATTTTATTTAAGCATTTTTCAATCTTTTCTTTTTGTTTACACGTCTTTTTTCTCTTTGTTTATATTATCACTGTAAACAAATAAAGAAATAACTGTCCTTCCATTCATGCTATCTTTATCTATATTGTGATTGTAAACAACTTAAGATATTTTAAAGATATTACTAGTGATGGATTGTGTAGTAACAATAACAATTGATAATGATATCATTGGTGATCCGGATATCGAATGTCTTGATGAAGAAATTCGTATTTTTATTAAAACACGAAAAATTTTCAACGGTAATATTTCTGATTTAATTCATTTAATGAAACAATGTACGAAACGGTAATTTTTTTACTGCTATTAATAATTGAAATTGAAATTGAAAAAGGGAAAAAGTTTCTGAATAAATGTTCTAAATTACATTATTTTTTATTAATATTAAATTATTTCACAGTATAAACTGTATCATTATACTTTTTCTTACTTTTTTTTCCATGTTTATAAATTTCCAAAAATTCACACAGGTCGAATTTATGCAAAAGGAAAAGCAGATAATGCAGCATGCGCAAAGGATAATTTTGCTCAAGAAAGAACCAAAAAGCCACATATGTTTTTAAAATTTGGAACATGTGGTATGAAAAGTTTACGATCTGTAAGTTATCCGAAATGAAATTTTTTAATTTTTCTAATTATCATATGTAACATATGTTCTGAGTATTAAAATCATCGATTTTTTTGAAAAAAAAAAACATTAATTAACATTAATTACTAGATTATTTTAATTTTGACAAAATTGACATCTTGAATTTATTAAATTTTGATTGATAGTTCAAATCACTTGACTATGATCAATTGGTAAGTAATTGTAATAATCCTTGATTATTTGGAGCCGTTTCTATTTATGCTTTAAGTAAGTTTGTTAATGTTAGGCAGAGTTATGTTTTCTCTCTTTTTTGAAATAGCAGAAGGGTGAATAAAAAAGTTATTCCTGCCAGCGTAAGATTGTCAAATATTTCAATAATTGATAATAATTTATTACTCAGGCAACGTTATCTTAAATTTTAATTTTAAACCATTTCAATTTTCAATCCTATTTTAGATTGATCCTCGAGGAATGTATTATGGAATTACCATAGTCGTTTCATTTCATACGGTTTGCTTATTGAAACTATTCGAATATATCTTTAAATTATTCACAAATTTTTGCAAAGACTAACAATTTGATATTTAGAAATTGAAAAAAGAGCTTCAGATTTGATTTGGTATTCGAAATGATTAGTAATTAAATTAATGTATCAATTAGAAAAGTTGAAATTATATGTTTTAATTGATGAACTGTGGTAATTTTAGCTATTTATCACAAAAGTTGATCAAGCATTTCATGTCAAATGTTTTTTCGAAGAAGCTAGCCATGGACTTACTGCTAAATTTGGTGTTAGGTATATTTCAGAAAATTTTCACAAAAATAATCAGACAAAAAAAAAACTTTTAATAAATTTTAATTTATGTCTTGCAAATTTAAAAAGAATTTTTTTTGTTTTTTTTAATAATTTTTAGCAAAAATAATTTCTTCCAAAAAAGTATGCGATGAAAAATTGAAAATATTAAATAATGGATATTATTGAGAAAGGAGTGAAATTTGAAATCTAATCTTATTGACATATGTGTAATTATAGCATTCATTTTTCACATATACCAATTAAATATACATATGTGATTATGAATTAAATCCTTGAAATGTAGGTCAAAGAAGAAAAAAGAGAGAAAAGAAAGAGAGAAAGAGGATGAGAAAGAAAAGAGAAATTTAAATTTAGGCCATATTTCCGGCTGCTCCTTCCCGTTTTGTGTCTCAATTATTTTTTTTTTTTTCATTGTTCGGTGGTACTCTTTTTTCCGCAAAATGTTATGGTAAAATTAAATACAACAATAAGAACATAAATAATTATGCAATTAAATTTTATCAAAACTAACAAAAAAAATCGATTAATTATTACATAACATCCCAAAAAATTTGCAAACAATTAACGACACAGTAAGGTTTTTTTTTTTGAAATTTTGGTTCACATTAATTGTATATTCAAAATATCATCATTGATGTTAGAGTGTCAAAAAATATTTCCATCTTAATTAATTGTATATATGAAATACTATTAATGATGTTAGAGTGTCAGGAGCAGTAAAAATGTTTCCATTTTAATTCATTTATAATATAATTTATCATAGATAATTAGATGAAGAGAGTAATTAAATGAAGTAAAAATAAGTTCATATTATTTATAAAATGAATAATAATTTCAGCACAAGAAAATTTTCCTTTCAAACCGACCTACAATTAATAAGATATATATGATCTAATAAGACTTTAAAAAACAACTAATAAGATGTAATCAATTAAGTGATATTATACTCAATTATGCTTTTAATCAATTTGATTTTTTATATAAAAATAAGTATACTTAGGTGAAAAAAATTTACACTACAAATAAAATGAATCATAATTTCAGCATGATAGCAACGACAGAAGTGGAAGCACGTCATCCTATTCCAGGTTGCTCATATAGCATCCATGCAAGTAGTATTGATGATCTTGAAGCTGGAAAACCTGCTGGTCCTATAATTATATATGCTCGAGTTGGTGATCGAGTCCTTCATCAATGGCATTGTGATGATCGTAAGCAAATTTTATTTTATTTAAAATCTCGAAAAATTAATTCATGCATTTCCTATCCAACATTAAAAATCATTCATATTCTATTTAATTTTAAAAATTAATTATCATCTTAATTATACATTCCATATAATTAAGCACCAAAGTTATTTTACAAAATTTTTGGTTATTTCAAGATTTTTTATTATTAGATTGATGATAATTTTATTTCATTTCACAAATAATTTATATCATTTGTAGAAATGTATGGTATACTTATTAATAATTGTTATGTTACGGATGGATTTGGTAAACGTACCGAAGTTATTGATTCAAATGGGTTAATTTTTTTTTTTTGCTATAAGTTTTAGAGTTTAATTTAATTTAGAAGATGATTCGCAAAGTGCTATTGTTAAATTTTTGTTTTTTTTTTTTTTAAAAAAGGATAATGTAGGTGTTCAATTGATCCAATTCTCATTAGCGGTATTCGATATTCAGCGGATTTGCAACGAGCTTATGGAGAAAGTATGGTATTTAAATTTGCTGATCGACCAGGCGTTTGGTTTTTTTGTGAAATTCAAATGTGTATGAAAAAGGAAGGAATGTGTCGAGGAATTACGGTAAATTGTTTGCAAAAATTGAAAAAATAAACAAAATTAATTTATTGCTATTTTTTGTCTGCCATCGATCAGATATAAAAAATGTAGATTTTTTAAAGTAAAATTGATCATTTTTTTTTTCTTAGCAAAATTAATCATATTTTTAAAAGAGTCTTCGGAATATTCGTCAATATTGTTAATGTGATAATCTTTTTTCAACAAATCGGAATTCGCTTACTGTTAATGTGATAACCTTTTTTCAACAAATCAGAATTTGCTTACTAGATTGTTAATGATCAATTCCACGTAAGAACAGTGATTACATCTAAATATTACAATAAGATTGGTTTTTTCTCGACAGTGTGACATTTATTATCTACCACTAAAAGATTAAAATCTTTTGCAATAAAATCTAAATCTACCTTAGAAATATTCAATACAATCACAGCTTAGAAAGAATTAATCATATATCATATGTGATTTATATTTTTAATAAATGTTACACAATTTTTATATGAATTTTGAATCATTTCAAAATATCTTTGTGCTTTTATTTTAGAAGTAAAGATGAAAGATGAAACAGGCAAAAATATCAGGGATGAGAAAAAGTAATGAAAAAAATGATTGCATTATTTAAGTAAAATAAAATAATTTAGCCACCATCTTGTGCATTACAAACTGGAAATATCATATATGATGGTAGGGAAGAGGAAGAGGAAAAAGAGGTGCAAAAAGTTTCCGGAAGAATAAAACCGTTATCATCAGCATCTGCGAAATCGGTGAAGAAAGAACAAAGAGAAAAAATAGAAAATTCGGAAGAAGATGAATTAGGATCTAACGATGGATCAGTGGATGAATATTTCGAAGAGCATTCTAGGTTTAATTTGTAAAATTTTGAAAAGATTTAAATTGTTTTGAAAGATTTAAGTTTTTTCAATAATTGCTCAATTCTTTATTTTCAAATTTTTAAAAAATCAAGCAATTTCTTCCTTTGAGTAAAAACAGTGTTGTAAAAATTTTATTGGCTGAAAAACTCAATTCTTTATTTTCAAATTTTTAAAAAATCAAGCAATTTCTTCCTTCGAGTAAAAACAGTTTTGTAAAAATTTTATTGGCTGAAAAACTTTTGTGCAGTTACATAAAAATTTTTAAATGAATTAAAAGATGATCAAAATTTTATAATTTTCAAAAAGTGCAATTTTTGTTTTTTTTTTTGAAGATTTAATTCGAATAATGCGATTGAAAATGAAGAAAGTGATGGAATTTATGATGAATTAGAAATTACCGCAACAACGCAAAGTAGTCGAAGTGATGGACATTTAAGAATAATTGCAAAACAAAAAACATCAACAACAACAACACCTACTAAAGTTGGTTTTCTTTTACAATAATAAATAAATAAGAACAAAAATTACAGTTCATCCTTTTCGCAATATTAATAAACTGTCACGTCATGACGCTTTTCTTTCTTTTTTCAAGAATATTCTTTTGATTTGATTTTTTTTAATATTTTGACAAATTCTATTGATATTTTTATTTCAGACATTAGTAACGACCGTTTTCGAAACTACTGATGATTACAGTGTTGAAAGCAAAAGCGATGATAAAAAAATTGGAAAACCGGCTGCCGAAAGTAATGTTTGTAATTAAGAAAAAAAAGCGAAAAAAAAATCAAAAAATATTTTTATAAAAAAAGTTTTGCAATTGATTTTTCTGCAAAATTTCTACATACATTATTAGCAATCCGACCCGCTTACAAATATATATCGATAATGCCATTATTCAATTGCAATACCAAATTAATCAAATTACGCTAACATTTGATTAGCTGTAATTAACTTAAATTGTAATCTATTGAAGATAAATTTAAATTTAATGTTTAAAATAAAAAATCCGGAAAATTTCTATTTACATTACAGTGTGTTTCAGAAGAGTTTTACGAAGATTTAGCAATCGATCCTAACTTGAATGATTTATTGGCAAATTTACCGGACGAAGTTAATGCTGATTCCTTG